GTGAGAAATTTATTTAAAACACCTTTCAGTTTAGCTATGAAATTCTGGGTTTAAAGTATGGAACTGTAGGTGTAAATTTTGAACATGCATTTAACTCTATGAACTTTACTATCCGAGGAAGATTTGTTTTTGGACAATGTATTGTTCGATGAGGCCTACTCATCGGATTAGAGTTGACCGGTTAATGTATATGCCTTGTCCGATGAATAGGATGATATTGTTAATGATTAAATGTTAGTGTTGACAGATGAGTTTTATCCGGTGTGGAGTATTAACCGGAGAGTACTTCACCAGTGAAGGATTAATTGATTGGTTTGTTGTCCGATAAGAGGTATCCGGACACTTGTCGTCCGGTGAGAAGTATCTGGACACTTGTTGTCCGGTATGATGTCCGATAAGATGAACAATAAGCTATCTGATGAAGTGTCCGATGAGGAGGTCTGTTAAGGGTGTCCGGTTAATAATTGTCCTTATAATAAAAAGAGTTGACCGATGAAGTTATGGATAAAACTTTGAGGTATTTAGTAATGGGATGTCACAGTTAATGTTTAATTGGTTTTTAAACTGTTATACTGTGAAAAGAGCATTTTATATGTTTTGTAAATTGGAAAAGATATTAAAGTTTTTTCCATACGTGGTGACATAAGTTTGTTCTGGATTGAAACTTTATTTTGAAATGTTTCTTCTGGACGTGGTGACATAAGTCCGTTCTGGTATGAAACTTCGTTTTAAGAAATAGTTCCCCTAGACGTGGTGACATATGTCTGTTCTGGCATGGAACTGGGTATTGGATACTTTCAGACATGGTGACGTAAGTCTGTTCTGGTAAGCAACCCTGTTTGAAGAGGAAATAAGGATGACATATCAAGGAGAGGTGTACCTATGGATATAAGGGTGGCAATTGCAAGTATGGTTAATATTATAACTCTTGTTATTATCACTATCATATACAATAATTCTAAATCAACATTTCTTTGTGACTTGATGATTTAGAGGTATTGTTCTTTATAGAAATAATAAGTTTGATGTTATTGAGAAAGGGAAAAACGATTTATAACCAGAGGCATTAATTGCCTATGATTTCCAAATGTTTTTTTAAAGAAGTTTGAATAAGTGTAAGAATGATATAGAAGGGCTCTGGTTGGTCTTTTAGAAGGACCAGAGGACCTCTAGTCGTGTGGAAAGTGTTTTGGGATGTTATAAACTAGAGGCTCTGTATGTATCATATAGAAGTTCTGTATCATGGAAATGGTAATTTCGTATTATGTGTCATAGCTTTGTATCTGAGCTCCATCTTTTAAAATCAAATATTTTCTTTAAATGTCTTTATAAATTAAACAAAGAACTAGAGAAGCTCTGGTTATGATTTTGTTTGTCTTTTCTTTTTAAAATCATATGTAAGTCCTTTTTGGACTATAGGCTCTGTTCATCCAAAAGGTCTCTGGTTAAGTTTAGACTTATTAATTTAGGTTAGATACAGAGGCTTTGGTTGGTAAGGCCAGAGGCTCTGGTACTCAAGGGCAGAGGAACTCTGGCCCGTTGAGCCAGAGAGGTTTTATGGATGTTTAGTCAAGGGATACATAATTCTGAGAAGATGCATTTGTGTTATGTACTATAACAATTTGTTGGTTTTATATTTTGTGAACAAACAGATTTATGTGCTTTTATTAAATTATGTTTATCTTTATGCAAAAGATGTTTTTATCAGGTTTTGGTGATCATCACCCTGTATTTGCAAAGAAGGGATTTACTCACTAGATCTTCTTGTCTAACCTTCATTTTATATTTAAAAATGTGCATTGTAGGAACAACGAGATCACGGGATATTAAGGGTAAGGGAAAAATATAACTATTTTTCTTGTGTTATCTGCTTTTTTTGAAGATCAGCCTATTACCTATATATTTTGAAGATACATGTTGCTATACATGTGATAGTGCAGGGATAATTCTTTTGGAATTTTTCTTATGTAAATTCTATACATATAGAATCCTTGTACTAGTGGGACCTATGTGGTGTAATATATATTTCTTTTGAATGAAATATATGTTTATATGCAAGTGTGTGAAATAGGGTGTTACACCTTCCTTCCTAAAACTGATGGAATTGAAATTCATTCCATCCAAAATTATGTAAATTACAAAAATACCCCATGACAACTGGTTACATTCTCTTGACTGCTTCCTACCCAAATTTTGCTTCCATTCTGGAGATCGACGATGGAAAGTCCGATGAAATGGTGAGGAGAAGCAGGTTGGGGGAAGTGAGCCTGATGATGGAAAATCGAAGTAGAAGACCGATGATGAAATCGAACCTTGAAAGCAAAACCCTCTGAGACATTGGGGGAGAAATTGATCCTCTGAAAACGAAACAGAATTCAGAAATCGCTCCTCTGAAAATGTCGAAATCAAAACCCTCTGAGATTGGTCGTTGTTCCTTTTCTCTAGTCACTTGAAAAGGAAGCAGAAGCAGAAGCAGTCACCGGTCGTTCTTTTTCTCACCGTCAAAATCTTAGGATTTTTATCTTGTAGTTTGATCTCCATCCCTGTGGAGAAGCAGAAGCAGATCTTCATCCTTGTGCAAAAGCATATATTCGTCCCTGTGCAGAAGTAGAAATAGATCTTCACCCTTGTGCTTCTTTCTTATGGTCCAATCGATCTCCCCTAGTAAGCAGATCTTCGTCCTTGTGCAAAAGCAAATATTCGATCGATCTCCTCTTGTGCTTTTTTATTCAAGTTTTATTTAGGAGTTTCTTTATATTTGGGGTTCATATGTTCTTGATCTGATTCTACAATCCACATAGGTGGCATAAAGAAAGGGCATTTTTGTTTTTTTTTTTCATTCTATTCCAATTTTGTTGCAAACCAAACAGACAAATTCCAACTCATTAGACATATTACATTTCATTCCTTTCAACCAAACATTTGGTCAAACCTGATAACATTTTATTCTAATTCCTTCCAGATTCCAATTCTTTTGACAGATTTCATTCATTCAAAAATCATTATACGAACCAAACACCCCCTTAAACTTTCATATTGGTTTTAGTATTCCAATTTTTGGTTCAGATTTAGAATAACCCCTATCTCATTGTACAAAATTTGGGTTTGAGTTTTGAGATTTCATTTGGACAAATTGCACACAAAAAAAACATAATTAGTATCATTTCTATCTTGGTTAACGAATTTTAAAAACTTTTCTTTTATTACTTGAGATATGGAATATTAAACATTTAAATATCTAATTTATCGAATGACATGTAAATGTTGATTAGAATAATATTTTTTTTGCATGACAATTTTTTTTTATTCTTTAAACGCAAACGGAGAAAATAAACTCCACATCATTATTTAAAAAAAAATTATAATTTTTTTTAATTACTCAAAAAAGTTGCATTTATTATTTTTTTCAAATTCCAAAATTTGTTACAATTTTCTTAAAGAGGTCAAATTAACTTTATTAAAACTCGAACCTACATTAAAAAATTTATTCAAAGTTCAAATCTAATATAATTTTTTTAGCCAAATTGGAATAACCGACTACTCGTCCCATTTACACCCTAACCTTTCCCATTGCCATCCAAGATCCTTAATATTTTCTGTGGTTGGTGTTCTTATAGATTTTGAGTTATCACATGGGTTTTCGACCCTCAAAGTCAAAGTGTTATGGAGTGAAGCCCTACCTCAAATTCATCCAATAGTGGTGGCATATTTGAATCAGTTGATTGAAATGGTTTTGTGAAAGAGGAACAAGCAATTTCTCCGACATCGACTCCCTTAACAACCACCAATGAAGACGAATAACAGGCGATATGACAATCATCTAGAAACACCGACGGCGACTGAGGGTGGTGTCTCCAGGTTAAACAAAATTTGACTATCGACAGTCTGGATCCACCATAAGACTCGAGTAATACTCAGACTACTATAGATCGGCCTTTGTGGGACTGCTGTCTGGTAGTTAGAGTATTGATTCTTACAAAAAGGACGAAGACGGTTAGGGTTTTTTTTACGGAGTCTGTAGTCAGAGTCTTAGCTTTGGGTCCTAGAGCTTTCGAGCGGCGACATAGTAAGCGCATACGACATCCACGACGGAGTTAAGCACCAATTGAAGAAGAAAGAGTGGCGCCGATTGAAAAAATTGGAATTTTGGGTCCCAATTGATATCCTTGTTATTGGGAAATTGGGTTTTAATCAAATGTGTTTTAATATTTTCCATCTCATTAAATTACATATCTATCTTTTTACATAGCATTTTTTTAAATACATGTCATTTTTATTTTACCAGTTACGATATTTGAAAGTTTGGGATTTCATATCTCAAATACCAAAATATAAGTTATTTAAATAGGTTAACCAAAATAGGATTGAAATTAAAGTACACTATCTTTTTGTGCAATTTAATTACTTGTTTCATTTTGGGTTTTGATTTTAAGAATTTGAGTTTTACAACTTTGTTTTTAATCAGTTATGTATCATGACAATGAACTTGTATAAGTTTGTTTATGTTCTTGAATATGTTTTATTTAAGGTTTTGAAGATACATACTTTGTGTTTTGAATTTGAGACGATGGTGGTCATTACTTGTTGCCAGCAGAAGAGGGTACGACAAACGGGAGGGAGATGGAAGTGATGAAAGTACTAGGCATACGGTGGGTGGCATGTCATGATTTTAGTGTATTGATTTACAAAGAATTTTTAGTGTTTAATATAAAATGTGACAAAATTAAAATAAAACGCTTACTTTATGGATAGATTATAACCAAATCCAAATGTTTTTGTAAAGAACCATGACAAAACTATAGGGACTAAAACCGTTAAAATCCAAAAACCATAACCAAAAATGTAATTCACTCTATTTCTCGCAATAATATCTTTATTTTTAGATTTGTAGTAGTAGTGAAGACTTGGCAGTTGACTTGTGGAAAGTAAGTCTACGTCAAGAGCATATTGCTTTCGCATCACGCTTCCCCTGGTAACCCTACCTCCTTTACTAAGGTTCTTCCTTAAGCATTCCACGAAGCTTCCCCATTTCATGTATTATACCTTAAATGGGTGAAGACTTTTCATCTTTCGTCTTCCTCCAGCTTTTATTACTCTCTCAAAACACCCACATAGTCGCCGGAATATCGAACTCCGATACACTTTTTATAAAGAAAAAAGATGACAAAAAGGTTTGCCGACAACCCGGAATCCGACCAATGTTGGCAGAACGAAAGACGGCAGCGAACTCGACCTTCTTTGGCTTCGTACGTTTAATATTTCATTCCATATCTATATATGTGATTAATTTGTTTTATTTCTTTTACTTTTTTCATTGGAAATATATCAATCTTATACTCATAAAAAGTTGCTAAGATCTCATCATCTATGTCTATACCCGTTAAATCCATCGTAAACTCCATTTTTGCGTAACTTTCGGTTGCTATCATAATCAAGTCAACATGCTTAAAAAATCATATTCGGAGAAAATTAGAGCCATTTTAAATTTTATGTTAACAGTGCAATTGGGGAGGTGGTGAAGATGAATTTTGTTCAGAATTTCTGTACTGCGTTGGAGCCGATGCTTCGAAGAGTGGTATGATACATATACCATTTCTTTAAGATGATCTATTCCTTTCTCTTTTGATGTTTAATTAGCTTTATTGTGTGCAATATGATTATTTACTACCGTAGGTCAACGAGGAAGTTGACAATGGTCTACGAAGAAGAATACCATCTTACGCTAGGTCGAATTCGTTGCTTATCAAGGCACTAGGACCCTCAACCATGCAGCTGAAATTCAGAAAGCTTCTTACCCTCCCAATTTTCACTGGCACAAAAATAGTAGATGAAGATGGCAACCCTCTTGAGATATACCTTGTTGACATCAACAACAATCAAGAATCGATCATTTCTTGTGCTATAAAATTACAGATTGTGGTCGTAGATGGGGATTTCCCATCTGCCAATAGTAATATCTGGACTAGTGACGAGTTTGAAAAGAATATCGTGAAGGAAAGAAGAGGAAAAAGACCATTGCTTGCTGGGGATGTCAGTGTTACTATGAGGGATGGTGTTGTTACAGTTGGCGATATTGAGTTAACCGATAACTCAAGCTGGATTCGAAGCAGAAAGTTCAGAATTGGGGCTCGAGTTGTTCAAGGAGAGACTCCTGGGATTGTAATACGTGAAGCCATGACCGATGCCTTCGTGGTTAAAGATCATCGTGGTGAACGTATGTTCTCTTTCTTCTCTGCATCTTAACATGAAAATACACACATCTATCACCCTATATATACACACAGATGATGAATTAGCGTCACTTGCGTTTTGCTTTCTGGGTATTCCCCTCGATTTTGTATCTTTCTTTCCTTTATGCAAATTTAGAAATAACCAAAAAGTTTAGCAATAATACCGACTGTTCTACGTTCATATATATAGTGTACAAGAAGCATCACCCGCCAATGCTTCAAGACGACGTCTGGCGCTTAGAGAAGATTGGGAAAGACGGAGCTTTCCATAAGAAGCTCACTTCAAACGGCATCAAGACCGTGCAAGATTTCTTGAAGCTTTCAGTAGTCAATGAACCCAAGCTTAGAAAGGTACCTGTCTATTTCTACTTTCGTCTTTAATCTGTACGTATAGATCTTCATTACATACTATTATACATAGATTTGAAATTGAATGATATATGTTTCTTGAATTACTCTCTTTTTTCGACAGATTTTAGGGCTTGGAATGCCCGATAAAATGTGGGAAGCAACACTAAAACATGCGAGAACTTGTGTTCCTGAAAACAAGTTCTATATATCGCGTGGTCCTAACCATACCATCTACTTGAACCCTATATGTCAAGTAGTAAAGGCCGTGATCAACGGAGATACTTTCTTCGGCAAAGATCTATCAAGCGTCAATAGGGTTCGTATAATTTTTTTCCATTTGCTTTAATTGTTCATCAAAGTTGAACAAAATTGTTTCTTGAACACAAGGAGTGACATTAATTGTGTATCATATTTTGCTGATATGCTGCTGAAATCTTTTTAGTCCTCGTGAAATTAAGCTTCATAATTTCATGTGAGTTAAGAAAGTAATTTCAATATCATGTTTGGTAAACGCATACACATTTAGCCCTCTATTTGATCAAATCAGCAAATTTCTTTAAACTTTTGAGAGATACTGATGTTGATTATAAGAAGAAATTGGCAACAAGTTCTATTTCCTATTTTGAGCGGTTTGCCTAAACGCTTATTGCGTAAACGATTACGAGTAAACATACAAACTTTCTTTATCATGTATGATTCTAATGCATTAAAATGACATCGTTTGTAACAATTTATCCGGTAAGCGTTAACCGGGTAAGAGTTGTCATATTCATTTACTGGGTAAGACATCTCGGCCCTTATAATTGCTCTAAATGGGTAAGATTCTTGGTTATTGTCATTTTCATCTGGTAAGATAAAGTAACCAGTTAAGTATTAAGCAAACGATCCCATTTATTCACTTATGTCAGGCGTATATTGAAAAATTAGTTGAAGAGGCTTATCAGAAATGGAACTCTTTGGAAGTAGTTGATGGTGTCATGAATGAAACTCCACTTCTAACTCAAGGTACTTTGATCAAGTCTTCAAATATAATAATTATGGGTTTAAAGCATAATTATAACAATTTTTCTGTACTGTTACGTATTTTATTAGATTTTTCTTGTCTTTACTGGTGAATAATAGGTGATATGGCGTATCAATACCCACATAATAACACAATGACAATGGCGATGTACGAAGGGCAGGTTTTTCCGGCTGGTCAGACCACCGAGCTAGCGTTCGTGTCAAACAAAGACTATGTTGGTGTGGTGGGTTCAACGTACTTTTTAGCACCAACTGAGGCTTACAACTTTGCAGAGTCTTCTTCGGAAGGTGAATTTGGAGCAACATACAATTTCATTAAATAATTATTGTTGATTTGTTCATAAAACCAACATGGAAATTTGTGCATAGCCACCTCTTGCAAAGTCGACGACATATGTAAATATATATGTCATCTTATATATAGCTTATTATATGTCAAATTCCATTCACAGTACTGCACGCACTTGCACCATAGTGCTTTGGTTTCTAAACGTGCATAATATGTTACAAAGTTCATAACGCAAAATAAAACATGAAGTTGTCTCATCATCTTTACATTTTTTTTTTTTTTTTTTTGATTTGTTTCCTCCTCATATCATGAGAAGCTAAATAAAGTTAGCCACGACCCCAAAGAAGAATACAAAACACAAGGTAGAATATATATGGTACGAATTTTAGAGAAGGAAATTTTATTAATAATCAACGTCAAGCATGAGAGCATTTAGTTTTGAGGGCTTGCTGTTTTATCATTTATCTCTGCCCTGAGATCTAGATGTAACAGTACATAGGTATATATAGATATATTGTAGATAAAGATAGTAGTTGTATTCTAACTAAAAGACCAACTATTGCCTAACAATATGTAACAAACGAGGATTATATATTCTTGGTAATACAGCTTGGATCTGAATAGGAGGAATAGAGGGTGAGGCAAGCTCTTCGTAAATGTGTCGGCGATGTTTAGATGGCTACGAACAAATAGAATAAGAACCTGTCACATTGCACCATTTTGCAGACAGAATGATAATCAAGGGCAATATGTTTTGCATGTTTATGAGACAATGGGTTACTACTGATGAAGAGAGCACTTTTGTTGTCGCTAAGGATGGTTGGTGCATAGGGTAATTGAGAGGTGCAGCCCACTAAGTATGTTATCCCGATGACATTGGCTGCCATATTTGCAAGGGCCCAAATTTTGAATTTGCAACTACATCTAGCCACCGTTTGTTGCTTTTTAGAACTCAGAGGTGGTTAAATTTGTTCCGAGAAAACTAACATAGTGAAACGTCAAATGTAAGAACAACCTCCCCAGTCAACATCAAATTAGGTCAATGTATCGTATGATGGTGCATGGGAGAAGTAGAGACAAGTTCAGAGTACCCTTTACATATCGCAAGTCACGTTTGACTGCTTGAAAGTGGGCAAGCATGGGTTTGCATAAATACTGGTTGACTGAGTTGATTACATAAGAGATGTCAGCCCTAGTAATAGTGAGATATTAGAGTGCCCCAACCAAGGATCAATAATGACTCAGGTCATCTGAATGATCACCAGTGAGACCGAGGTGTTGACTGACAATATCAGTGTAACAATTGTCTTGCATTCATGCATTTGTTCCCGGAGCAATATATTGAGAGCATATTTTTTTTTGGTTGAGGAATAATCCGATCAGAGGATATGTAACTTCGAGATCGAGAAAGTAGTCTAGTCGACCAAGGTCTTTGAATGCAAAATCAATTCAATATTATAGGGGATTGTCGTTGTTGATAGTGACTATGCCATCAACATAGACGAGAAGGTAGATTATCGATTTTCCTTTGGAATAAATAAAGAGACAGGTGTTGGCATGGTTATTGGTCAAACCAATGTTGTCTAGGAAGTTGCCAAATCTTTGAAACCAAGGAGGCGAGGCTTGTTTTAAGTCGTATAGAGCTTTATTTACATGACAGGCATAGGTTGAATGGAGAGTATCTTCATATCTTGGAGGTTGTTCCATAAAGATATTTTCTACAAGTAAACCATTTATGGAAACATTTTTTTATAGCGAGGGAGAGTACAATGCAAATGATGGCAGCTTTTACGACCTGTTTGAAGGTACGAGTAAGGTCTAGTTCAGGAATCTAAGTGAACCCTTCAAGGAATTTAGCTAATTAAGAAGACGGAGAATGTCTATTTGCAGATTTTCCAACTCCTCCGAAGGGGATGCTCCTTTACTTGACTGGAAATGACGGGTCAACAACTCCGAATCCACCACTCACTCTCTTTCGGGTAGAGTTAACAAATTATGTAAGCATTCGTGATTTAAGACGTTCGATAGTACCACTGGATTTGAACTAGGTCTGAGAGACCCATTGTGCAACCATTTGTGATTGAAGACGTTCGATAGTACGAACAAGGATTCTCTATTCTTCATGGCTTTGATCCATTTTAGGTATTTAGTGGATAACTTTTATCCTTTAAGGTTTTTTGGGCATAAAAGCAAGTGGATAAGACCCTTCATTTGTCCAACAACAAAAGCAGGGATTTTGGGTTTAAAAATACCAGATTTGGCTCGCGTTTGCATGGTATGAATAGAGGTGGTTGGTGGCACATAGTGGGTAGTGAGAGTTGTTGGGTGTCGATGGAGGGGAAAAGCTGGAGGGTTACTAGAATAGGTGTGATGAGATGTGTCCGTACATAAGGGTCGTAATTTGGCCGTGTTATGGTTGTTGTAGATCGGCTCATCGTTTTGAGAGGATTGTCATCTGAGCATTGATGTTCAGGAACAGAAGATGAGGCTTCAGCTATAGATTCTTCAGCAATGGGTAGAATTGCTAAAGGAGCCTCAGTGACACTACAAAAATGCAGTGTATCAGCGAGGGAAAAATCTCTCGCAAATCCTTCGCTGAAAGGGCAATCCGTCGCTGATCCGTTACTGATACTCCGTCGGTCAAACAGTCGTAGGTAATGCTATCAGCGATGGATCAACGACGGATATCAGCGACGGATTTGCGATAGAAACTTTCAGCGACGGATCAGCGAGGAAAGTATTTAGCGACAGATCAGCGAGGGATCTGCGACGGATCTTTCAGCGACGGATTTGCGAGGGAACTTTCTGCGACGGATCTGCAACGGATGTTTCAGCGATGGATTTGCGAGGGAACTTTCAGCGATGAATCTGCGACAGAACTTTCAGCGACGGATCTGGGACGAAACTTTCAGCGATGGATGTGCGAAGGAACTTTCAGCAACGGATCTGCGAAGAAACTTTCAGCGACGGATCTGCGAGGGAACTTTCAGCGACGAATCTGCGAGGGAATTTCAAGGACTTTCAGCGACGAATTTTCTCTCGCTAATTCGTCGCTAATTTGTATAATTTTAAAAACTAAATTTTTTGAAATTGCATAAATTCTGTATTTATTATAAAAAAACCTGAAAATAATAATATAACAAACCAAAACTGTGAACAAATTTTAACTAACCAATTCATACGATTTAAAATATGGATTCATACAATTTAATTTTCGAATACATACAATTCTAACTATCGGAAGGTGGGGGAGGTGAGAAAACGTATCCTAACTGCCGCATAAACGCAGCAAAATGCTCCAATAATGCGGCCTGTTAGGCTAATGCAGCAGCTTGTCTGGCCTGTTCAGCTGCCGAGGCAGCTTGTCTGGCCTCCAAATCTGCCCTATTCTTCCGTTCGGTCTCCAGTTCCTCTTCTACCCTTACTAACTTCTCTCTCAACTCCGTTACCTGTAAATATTCAATATTCGACAAAATCAGTAATTTGTTCGTAATTTTAGTAATGAGAAAGTTTATAACAATATAACCAACGTACCTCCGCTCTTGACTTGTATGATGACCCGCTACTGCTACATCTACTCGTCATAACATAAGAGGGATCCTGGGTGGTCCCGAAACCAAATATTCGGCCTTTCCTCCGCCCTCCGACACTTTGCTCTCAAAGAGATGCCTCATCAGGGAGAGGGCTATCGGTACTAGATTGCGACTCACCCCTAAGCGATTGAAATCGCTCCTATGGTTCACGAAAACAAAAACGGGTGAGGTTATGTATGTAGATATTTCAGCAGCATAACAACTGTAAATCAAACATAACCAATGTATGTTTTTAACAACTAAGCATTCTAATAATACCAATGTTCGAAGTCACATTCTCAACCTACTTACTCAGCCTAACGTCTGCCCAACAATGGCAGCCCAAACTAATAGCATCACTATGTTTATTGAAATATATTACCTTAAACCTACCAAACGTATCTATTAACCAAAGTAATGGTTTTAGAAAACTTACATGATACCTAGCAGCTTTGGGTAACTGAACTGAGGAGGATTGGTTTGTGCAGTGAGTGCGCTCAAACACTTCAGTAGCAGTCGGCTCATGACCCATTACTTGTGCCTACTGATAAGTGTTAATTTATTAACCTTATTACATCATTTTCTTAACCATTTTCCGTTGTTTTATTTGCCCWTTAGTGTCCTAATTGAATCTTTTTATATCTTTTTCATATATTAGTAGTTATAGTGTATATATAATGTTAATTCCCTGTTTATGCAGGTTTTTGAGCATTTTTTGGCCCAGTCCTGTGACAGTCCTATAGGACCCGGAGTGGCAAGGTCCTATAGGACCTATCCGAGTGCTGGAAATCTTTTGGGCCGAGGAAAGATGGGCTAATCCAAAGAGAAGGCTTGGTCAACACCCTTGGGCTTAGTCAAAGCCCAGCTTGGAAGGGTCTTTTGTCTTATTAGTTGACATCCACCTTGAAGCTTCTCTTTACCTATTTAAAGGAGTGTTGGCCTTTGTAATTTACACTTAACTTTCACAAGACTTTAATTTAGACTTGTGTTGGCTCTTCACTTAACTTGTTACTTACTCTTTTCTCTC